TGGCTGGCTGATTCCGCCGGATACTTTTTAGCTAGCTGGCTGGCTGACTCCGCCGGATACTTTGATAGGTGGCTGGCTGGCTGATTCCGCCAAGTACCCGGAACGCAGGGTCAATACAAATAACTTGTCCATGTGCGCGGCCCTTTTTGGGCCTTTCCCTACAACTTGTCCAAGCAGGTGTCATAGCGGTAGCGTGTGCGGGGCTGCACTGTAAGCCTTTTGAGCCAACCTAACTCCTTTCTGACTTTTTTGCGATGCTGTTGGTCACGGCCTTCGGTCACTTTGTTGTTTTTTGATGGGTTTTTGCCATAACTGTTCGACTGCCTGCAAGAAGGCTTTTCTGCCGGGTTCTGGCGCGTGTTCGCCGCTGCTTCCGGACTTGCGGCCCTGTTACTGATGTCCCCCATATTGAGCCCGTTGAGCTCTGCCTCCGTTAAGTCCATGGTGTCCTGCGAGCCCTCTTCGAGCAGTTCAAGAGCTTTTGGAATGCCAGGCCTCCTCGTCTGCACTGTCAGCCTATGACAAATGCCCCCCATCGCTGACTCGGCCAAGTCCTCGGAGATGGTACCCGAAGGCCATCCAAGAACACCGTGAGCAAGCAGCTCAACACCCGTGCTCGGACCGGAATCCGAAAGCACCACCGGCACGCAAAAAGCCAAACAAGTCCCACCTCTCCCTGTTTGCATGGCCAACCACAGGCCTTGAGCCAAAATGGCACATTGCAGGATCCCTCCCTACAACCCCTTGAAGCTCATGAGGTTGTTACATACACAAGACACGCTACTACCTACAGGTGACCCCAAAACCCAATTCCACGGTAGAAAGGGAACCTGCTTTGTTTTAAACATGGGATCATTATATATATAATTGATATATTATATGCATAATGCATGACATATGTACATATATATATATAAATTACATAAATTGCAAAATTTACACATGACAAGTGGTTTTGGTTATATATTATATATGTATATATGCAGCACAGTAATTATATATAATATGTATTATTATGTATTAATATGTCAAATTATGTCAATATTTATTAATCCTTTTGCAGTTTTCAAGCAATCACATGTTCACAGTGAAGCTAAGTTGGTGTTGCTCTCTAGTTGGGAACCCCGCCCCAGATCCCTGTTTGTCTCATCTCAGAGCGCTTGCTTTGCAATGTATACAAAGTTCATTCTTCTTCTTGCACCGTTCAACATCGTATGATATTGGAATTGGATGTAAAGAGCAATGAACAAACTGTTGTCCACCAAGAAGGGTTAGCTCAGCATGTGACTGTGGTTGCATGAGGAGAAGTTCAGCGAATTGTATGCACTGGAAGCATTTTCTGTGCCCATCTGCCAATGCAGTTCAGTGCTACAGTCATGTGCATGCTTCCAGTAATCTTTAAGAGATCTTTCGAGACACCCCTAGACGACAGTCCTTGTCGGTGCAAATCAGCCCCAGGACTGCTAAGGCCAGGTGGCACAAGGTCAAGGGTACTACGCCCTCAGCATTCGGCGCGTTCGGAATTGGATTCCAACCCTCACACCCAAACTGGCCCAAACACTACCCTAGTGCTCCTGGCCGGCTCTCAGAAGCTAGACCCAGCATCCACCTGACCACCGAACCGAAACGCAGTTCAAGCCCTACTCCCACCATGTCGTCATTCTTTTTGGAAGGACGATGAGGGACGATCGGGATCGGCGCCCGCATTGTGCCCCCAACAGGGTTCTTGTCCGCGGTGTGGGCTTTGGCTGAAAACATAAAACTCTAACCGAAGAACACCAAGTCCAAGTCAACGCGTGTCCACATTCCTTTACACCGAATAGAACACGCAAACGGATGCGGATCCTAGTCTGCTATTGATGCAGGTGGCTGATACCCGCTCTCTTCCACCTTGGCCAAAATACACAAAGATTCGCCCTCACCTTTGAGGCTTCATTCGGAGAGTTTCGAGCACTACGTTCAATCGAATCCTTGAACGAACATGCCCAAACGCCCCCAAACGCTCCAAACAGCCGTTGCTTTGAGACCCCTCGCGGCCGCTCCAAAGGGATTCGGGTCCGATCTCGAGCTGCGCCCAGCGCATCAATTTTGTGATTTGGGAGCAGGTGGAGGTTCCAAACGGCGAATTCGTTTGGGTTGGAAACAATTCGTATAAATTAGGGGCTTGTGCTCACCCTGGCAAAGTGTATAGGACAATCTTTGGGTATCTTTGGGTTGCATCTGATATCCATGGCTGACCAAATCCTATCGACAACGCAAACCCACACTTCAGCACGTTTATGCACTGCAACAGGTTATGCACTGCATGCACACAGAAAGAACAGACCTGGCACCCTGGACACCTGTGCCCCGAGCCCAGGAGCGTAGAGCACTCTCTGCGCCGATGTGGTTACCACCGCGGACTTTGGGGAAAACCCACAAACTGGTTTGAGGCCTATAGTCGTTAACCCAGCCGGGTGTTTCCTGTGCTTCCAAGTTCAGTGACCAGGTTCACCACCTGTGCCCCCAAAACAGCCACCCACCATCGACGAACGTCTCTGCAGTTCGAAGTGCCCACAACCCCAAGCGGATCTGCACTTGCTGCACGATGGGTCGCAACAGGAAGCCAATGAGGCAAGCCAATCCGGACCTCACCCCCAAAGAAGGTCCATCAGTGAACAGCAGTGCGAGTTCAAAGGGATGCGGATGCCAAAACATTATTGTTGAATTTGAATGGTCCGTTCTTGTGACATATATGTCGGCCAACTTCTATTGTTGGTTTCGGTTTTTTGTTTTCCGGACGAGAACGTTAAAAAAAGGGCAGGGCCGACTGCCGAGCAAGACTGCCGAGCACCAACAGATCCACGCGGCAACGACTTGCTTCTCACAACACCCAGTCGTTCTCTTCGGATGTGCGTTCTCTAAGGTTCACCTCACCCAGTCGCTTTTGCACATCCCACATCGTCCCGGGACGATGTGAACTCCATGAAGCAATCAAGCACTCGCCATATTCAAGCACCAATATAAATGGGACCCTGACCTTGCTTGGACTGACCTCAAGTAATCAACCATCTTGGGATCTTGACGAGGGGCCGGCGTACCTGTTCTAACAACATCTAATAACAACACAATGGTGTGCAGGAGGTGGACGTGGTATGACTTGTGTTGGCGATTTTGCAGGCCAAAATTAAAAGAATTGTTGAGGTGTTATATAACATTGAAAAACACATATTCCCCAACTAGTGTGGTAACTAGGGGTTCTTACGGCAGGGGTAAGGCCGGGTGTTTGATCCAGGTGCTCGCACCCCTGTCCGGCTATTTCACTGCTATCGGTGCATCTATTCACCTTGAAATCTTCGAAGTGCATTTCGACTCCGCAGGCTCGTAACATCTGGTGGGCCCGAGCAGGTGCTTTCCTCGGCTGCGCTCTTTGCGGTGCCATGCGCGTTTTCGGACTTGGTGGTCGAGGAAAACCTCGTGAGTGTATTTGGTCTCAAGTCGACTTGTCATGGCAGGTGCACGGGATCGGAGCGGTTGTACTTCAATGTGCAGATTTCGTGGCAGGCGCAGCACTTTGGACATGGCGGTGATCTTCGGCGCGCTCTGATTCCGAAGGTGCAGTGAATCGTGACCTTTGGACATTGAGTTCAAACAGAGGGAAGTAGTGAGCAAAGGCTACCTTTTGCTATCCGGTATCTCGATGTGGTCTTTGGAACCCTTGTGCTGCCAAACCCCTTTGGCAGGGCTGCGCGGTGTGCATCTCAATGTGCAAATTTTGTGGGAGACGAGGCTTTTTGTGAACCTGGAAGTGCAGATTTCATGGCAAGCGATGAGTTTGTGAACCTCGAAGTGCAGATTTCAACGTAGCGCTGTGTGAAGCCGGAAGTGCAGATCCACAAGCGAAGCATTTTGTGAACCTGGAAGTGCACATTTCGTGGCAGGCGGAACAATAGAACCTTGAAATGCAGATGTCGTGGCAGGCACAGCATCTGGTGAACCTTTGTGTTGGATATGGATATGGATGGATAGATAGATACATAGAGGCACCGATGTAAAAACAACTTCCATAGCGTGGAACTTGGGCTTCCCAAACAGGCCAAGCCACCAACGAGGGAAACAGGCTTCCCAACAGGCCAAACTGGAACACTGGTTTTATGATCTCCAACGAGGGAAGACTGGCAAAACCACTGCCGTAGACTGGTCACATATTAGGTACCTCCGCCACCGACTGCCGTCATGGACGCCTCGCCAAGGGCCATCCCATTTCGATGTAGTGCAAAGAATAGCCCGACCAACTGTAGCCATTCATAAAGCCGTTGAACAAGGGCATCAGGATGCAAATCACAAGGTAGCTCAAAGACCATCCGAGCTCTTCGTCCTGAAAGGTGGAAGGAAACTGTTACAAATGATGTGAGCATGTGTTAAGTGTTAGCTGAAAAAGATTGAACAAGTATAGCTGAGAAAGTATTGCCCACAGGTGGCAAGCATCATGAGGGCCCAAAACACCCCACACACTAACCGTCACTAACCCCCCATTAAACACGTCCTGCCAGGTCTCCCGCGGTTTTTCCTGTGGGAAACCAGTCCCCCCAAAAAGATTGAACTAAGGTTGTCCACTGAGTGGGTAGGTTAGACCCCCAGTGTTGTCCTCATTAGTTGATGTTGGAGGAAGCCGAGTTTGGAGGTTTGGAGAGGCAACGCTTCCTCCCCTGCATGAACATCATGCAGCCCGCCCACGGAATGAACATCATGAAGCCAATCTGGCCCAACTTTGCGTAAGGACCACGTGGTCCAGAGGTCTGACTCGTCAGGTCCCCACCTAGGCGAATCATCGATGTCGAACGGTCCTCATCATCAAATTCATCCAGGTCGTCAATGTCCAGGGTCTCCATCGCATCCAGTGACGGTTTGGTCAACAGTTTGGTTCTTGGTTGGCCGTTTTGTGTCCTGGATGCAAACCGGAGGAGCCTATCGTCCTATCGTATCTTATCGCCATATACATGTATCATATAATACACAATAAATATCATCAATGTCCAGATTTTCCCTCTCATCCAGCGGATGGAATCTCAAGGTTGATAAGAGTGATGTTCAACGGGTGTTCTGTTTCAGCGTTGCTGGGGCCTACATGAACGAGAGCAAAACTTCAAGAGTCTTGCGTTCCAACATCTTACAAAGCATTTGGATGAGTTTGTCCTCAGAATAGACCGGCATCGATCAGAGGTCGGGGAACAAAAATAGCCAATTACATCAATTAGCCATGCTGCCGAGTGGGTTGACCGCTTGAACCGAACGCTCGGTCACGTGCACATCCTACAAAGGGTAAATGGACAGTCAGTCGTCTTCATGCCTTGCTTGGATTCGAGGTGGTGCTGCGTGCTTCTCACGAACGTCGGGACAAAAAGGCTGGTTCATGTTGAGTGCAAAACTATGAATACACATGGACACGCACGAGCACACACCCTGGTCACCACGGCCAAATCACCTTGTTTTTGCTAGCTACCAAAAACTCGTCAGCCAAGTGTTCAGCAATTTGCTGAACGAAAGTGGGCAATATCCGCCAGCTACCAATCACTCGTCCAAGCAGCCAAGTGTTCAGCAATTTGCTGAACGAAAGTGAGCAGCTTGTGAAAAAGAAGGCAGCAAAAAGATGCAAAAAGTGTCCAAACACCCTTGATGTTTGGGTGCCACGCACCAAGAACATGTGAAAACGTGAGAACCCGCTGGTTCACCAGATGTGATGCTCCCTCACCAGATGTGATGCTCCCAGCTGTCTGCTGCAAAAGGCCTGCTGTGCAGCCCCATATGCCATATGCTGACTTCCTGCTGTGACTCTTCAGCATGGGGGAAGAGAGGGGGCGGGGTCAACTGCGGCTGCCCTGTCCGTACGTGGAACTGCTTCAGTTCTTCCTCGTTGCTTCGGATCTCACAAGGCATGACCCAACTGGAGGCCACCCTGATAACCACTTGTTTGAAAAAACGCACGCCGTGTATTCCATTAGCGGTTCTGAATTTGGACACACAAAAGATCACAAGTTTGTGTACACATGCCAGGTCCTTAGGGGGGAGTAAGTAACGAATCTTGACCGCTCCTTAACTTATCCCAAGCTCTTGTGCCCTCTTGTCACGAGTAGGCCAAACGAAGAACATCTGGCTGTGATTCCCCCTGCAGCACGCAGCTGTGGTGCATGCCCAGTGGCCTAGTGCAGTACCATCTTTCAGGTCGCTTCTTCCGGTACCTGAGCTGCCGAAACAACTCCTCCATGGGGTGTTCCACCGTGCGCCATGTGACCGTTGGAGTGTTCATGATCCCATTTGTTTGCCAAGACGAGGTCAAAGTCAAAGCTCAGAATTAACGTGAATTAACGCACACTCCATGGGACTGCAGTATACGCCTACAGAAGGGCCCCTTTTGAACCTCAACTGATTGGTATATAAATACTCAAGTTTCCATGCATCTCCCTGACTGCAACACCCGACTGACTAAAAGTCTTGGTGTTCCAAACAACATTCTGACTTGCTTGGAAACGTCACCCCAACTTCATGTTTTCGAGCTGCATGCATGTCTGTGCATATGCCCAGGCCTCGGAAACCAGGCCTCCCCCGGAAAAAAAGAGCAAGAACACTCTGACGAACAAATCACCTGGAAGTCCTGGAAGTGGACACCACATCAACCACCCTGGGTCATGCAAGGACCATCGTCATCCGATTGGGTCCATGCCACTTCCATGTGATGCGTTGGAGGAGGCCCGCCCCTCCCAGATCCGCCATCCCATCACCGAGACTGAGCTTCTGCATGGCTCTTCCGGCTGACCACGCTCCACTGGCTCACGCGTCGCAAGCCCAAGCGCCGCGAACGCTGCGCCTCAGCCACCTCGACATCCGGTGGGAAGCCCAAGCGCTGGCAAAAGCCTGAGGTGAAGAGGATGAAGGTCACCTGAGTCACTCGAACAGTCGAACAGGAAAGCGGTCCAAATGAGTATAAAACTGGTATATCTTGGGGGGTCACTCACCCTCAGCCACCTCTGCCAGGCAGGAACTTCGGGACCCAGGTGACGGTGAACTCGCTCCACTTTTGATGTAATACGATTTCAGGGTGTTTATTCATCAGGCTCAGCAATCAAGAGCCACACAAGGTTTGGTGCCGTTTTTCCCAAGAGGAAACACCCGACTCGCCGACTGCTGTCCTTTCGGCCAGTGGGATCGATAATTGTTTGGCTTTTCTGGGATGATGATCCATACAAACATGGGGGCCCTAATTACCCCCTAAGTCCCTCTCGAACAATTTGCATCGTCTACTAGCTGCTAGCTGGAATCCCTGCAAATGATCTTGCTGCCGGAACTTGTGCCGCATATGACATTAGACATAGCGTGCTCAATGGCTTTTGTGAAGCAACGCGCTCTTCTCAGGCCATGGAGGAGCGGTAAAAACGGAACGTGTCAACCGTTTCGGTGGTCCAGCCCAAGACTCGCATCATCCAGTTACAGTACAATATTATGTAACATATAAATGTAAAACAATAAACAACAATATATATAGAGAGAGAGTGAGAGAGAATGCTATGGATATATAGAAATAGACATATATATGAAATAACCGGGTTTGCAGCTGGAGGGTGCCAGCGGTGGTGGAGGGTTTTATGGTGGATAATACATCAGTTGTGTCAGGATCACTTAATGATCTGTTCCAATGGTCAAATGTCCAAAAGGGCTGTACTTTTATCAAAACTCGGGTCTGACCTACTTCTGCAGGCCAAATAGGTCTCAGGTATTATACAATTCAACAAACTAGCAGACCAGGACCAGATCCGTCTATCAACACACAGCAGCTCACCTGTCTTGTCATCAAGTCATCATCTTTGTCCAGTACGTGCCACGTCGACTGGATGAGGACGCGAACCGAACGGGGCGAGCCAGAACGGACGCACAGAGCCACGGAGCGGCTTCGGATGTTCCGAGTCACCAGCGAAAGGGTCGCGCTCACGAAGAAGGGGAAGAAGGGCGAGACCGTTTCAAAGAGGAAGGGGCCCAGGAAGCTAGCTGTACAGCCTCCAAGAGCTTCCAAATTCTTGCACCAAACCTGGCGATCTGGTAGATCTCCCAATGGTGGAGCTGCAGTTGCTGTTGACAACTGAATTCATTGGTCCATTGATCTTCAAACACGAACGAGGGTCCAGGGATGTAAAGTCAAGAGCGAGCCAGAAACGAGAAGCGAGTCAGAGTCTCAGTCCAGGAAGAAACGGAGCCTCGAGGTCAAGACATCGAGCAAGAAGAATCTGTTTTTTTGGTTTCTCGGACTTACATCCTCCGATGCTGAACACGCACATCTACATATGTATATCGCACACACACACATATATATATATATATTAATATATATATATATATTATATACATGCCAGGAGTTTTCTCGAATGTATGTTTTTCGGGTTCACCTGAAAACATGTGCAGCTCAAAAAGACTTTTGACTCCAGTGTATGTGCCTTGACAAGCTGAGTGTGAGACGAGTTTTGAGATGAAAGATTGTTGAGACCAAATGCCAATCACAAGAAAATACAAATAATACACAGTTGGGGAACAATTTGCATCGCAATCTTGGATGGAGATCAACGCAGGGAGTCAGGGGATTGTTGGGATCATGCCCATATGAGGCGCCTAGTTCGCCTAGTTCGCTAGCTGCGCGTACCAGAGCAGTGGAAGAAAGTCTGTGCACTTCAGATTTAATCAGAACAATCGGGACACTTCCTGCAGAAAAAGGCAAGCCTGAGAGTTAGTGCGTTGAACATCTATTGTTTCGTTGGTATGTTCCAAGTCTAGCCTGTCAAGCTTGAACGTGTCACTGTGTGCGCATTTTGAGCAGTTTTATGTTGCTTCTCTCTTGGGAAGAGCTGAACAAAAACACAACGCGACGCAACGCTTGAAAACACAACGCAAAAGCAACAAAAACACAAGGCCAAAAGCAAAAAGACACAAAGACTTGAGCGAACAAAGACTGACTATTCACAACGCGGAAACCAGCGCAATACAATGCACCACCGGCGCAAGATGACGCCGAACCGGTGTCATCGGGGATGAAAAACTATAGAACAACTCAGTCAAGTTCACTCTTGTTTGATGCGTTTAACATGCTTGACCCTGTTTGGCATGGCTGGGCGCCAGGTCTAATGCCTTAGGTCTGTTGCTTCCCGACTGAGAAGGTCTTCGTTTGCTTACGAAGGACATACCCTGAACAGCTACCTTGGGCTTGGAAAAAACGGTTCCTCAACTAACAAGAACTGAAGTCGATGGGGGCCGAAGGAGATGTAGAGTTACTTTACATCATTCTTACCAAGTCAGTTCGCAAACCAGCACTTTTATTTATAATATATAGTAATCAAGAGTTTTGGATTTTCCGTCTTAGACCGAAAAGTTAAAAACGCCAAAAAAGCGTTCAGCCTCCCGCAGGTCTAGGTATACAAAAGGGAACACATGGAACCTCAGCGGTGATTTTTGCGGAAAAATACCATGGGACATGGTTTGCAAATGGATTTTAATTAGAACAAGCAATCTTGCAAACACTTTGTGTAGCTCATCCCGGTTGACTATATAATCGTGATCAAAGATGAGGCGACAATTAAGGCGGCCACAGGGGTTCCTCAAATCTTTCCAGCTTGAACACCAAACAAACTAACGACTCTTCATCACACTCCCTCTACTTAAGAGACTTTATTTAGCGGAACAGTGTCCAAAGGCTACAAACTTGGCCTGTCCCACTTCCATGTTTGTGCGAGTGAAGTTAAACAATCCGACGCACCTGAAGGTTAAGGAACAGGGACTGATCACCAAGGGAGTAGAAGAGATTCAGGTCAGTTGTGAGCTTGGAGGTGTAGACATACACGGTCCCCATGATCACCTGCGCCGTCACTGCCAATGGCAACCAAGGGCTGGTCATGCCCAAGTTGCAAAGCATCCATATAAAGAGGAGGCAAGACAAGCTGTAGGGTTGCTTGGTCAAACGCCGCAGGATTCCCGCTTCTTCATCATCATCCGTAGCAGCACCCAGCACTTTCATCATGATAGCCGCTGTCAAGTCTCCTGCGGACTGGGCCAAACTGGCCCACAGGGCCGAGTTCCAGCCATGGTACTGTTTGAAAAACATGGCAAAGGTGCTAAACTCTAAGACGTAGCTGAGGTTGTTGTTCAAGCAGCACCTCATGTGGCACACTGACAAATTCAATGATCAATTCTGTGACCCATTCGGCGGGATGGGACCCAGGTTTCAGCACAGCCTCCCAAAAACTATGCTACGACAAATCATGGAACACCTCTTTACTCTAACCTTCCAGGATCATCAAAACAGTTGACCTGGGTGAGCGGTGCAAATCTTAGATTGAACAAAGGCATGATATGAAGGCTATTAAGTCAATGGTGGTCGTCCTTTGGTGGATTTGGGACGGGTTCTTCTCCAATTCCTTTTAGCGTATTCAGTGACTAACGGGAGTCTGGCAAACAAGGAGACGGTTTCGGATCACCTCGATGTTCGCCTGAATCCTTTTCCCGAGGCATTTCAGCCAACCAACGCCGTGCCAAGAACGTCCGCTTCAAGCCATGGGTACTGCTCCAAATCCATGAAAGGGAGAAAAACACCGCTGGGACGCGATGTCTGAAACGCCAGCTTTCTTGTTTTGGGCTCCTCTACTGTAAACGCACGCGCGAGCACAGGCTCTCCCCAGTGCAGGGCCGCATGCGGAAGTCGCATCGATAGGAATTCGGGTTTGGCACCACGCCACGCGGCGGGCACAGCTGTGTGTATCGGGGGTCTGGTGGGGGTCTGGTGGGGTGCGGGGGGGATGATGGTTTGCATCGTGATCAGATGCACAAGCATGATCAAGCATGCTTTGCAGTGCTGCATAAATAAATACTTTCTCTCTCTCTCTCTATATATACACCTGGACCCTCCAAAGTACTTTAGAAAATGGGTCATGACCCCATAAAAAACAGGTACTTGTACCCATTTTCCGAGGTACTGTACTTTGAGACTCCAGGTATATACATCTATAACTGCGAGCATTCCACACTGCTTTGACTTGTCATTTCCAAGAGACCATGGAGCAACAAACCGGCTGTTCGTAGCCTTTCGATTTCCGATTGATGGGACAAAGAAACCATGTTGATGTTGACGACTTGTAAACAAGAACAGTTTTAGTTCCTTCGTTTGCTCTCAGGAGGCGCAAGCCATGCGCTCCTTGACCACAGTTTTGTCTCCCTGACTGCCAATGTCGTGATTTCACACATGCAAATTGGATCGTGATGATCCTGATCGGATTGTTTGTTGCAACTCCAAGATATGAGGTTTTCCAAAGTAGGTCACCTGGGTTGCCCGGAAAATGGTATATACCATTTTATATGTTTCGATCTTTTTCGCACTTGGACCCTCATGGTTGCCCGGGACTCCGGTTGCCCGGGGGTTGTTTCACTTCCTGACCACGGCAGCCTGGCTCAAAGAATGAAGGTATTTCACCCAAAAGGGGGTTTACCCATTGGGAGATGAAAATGACCCCAAGCCAGGCCCTGTTGTTCAATTACTGTAGCCGGTCAGGTTGTTCACCTTACAGCACATGGATTTCGGTAGTGTATCCACAGGCCGAGGCACATCACAGTCAATAGTGCAGGAATTCGCAAATCCTTCGGGATGCCTTTGGTCTTGGTCTTCGTCGCATCCTCATCTCCAGCCTCATCTTCGCCTCACTGGTTTAAGCGCCCAAGTGGAAAGGAAAACGGTTTCCAAAACTCATGCCACTCTCCCCAAAATTCACAAACCCTTCCCCAAAAACCGGCTTCGGTGCGCTTATATATAATATGTATATATATATACATCGTGAAAAGCTTTCATAAGAAATCATATGAAATCTTACGAAATAACAACTTAAAAGCAATGAAGACGTCCAGACGAGCCTCCGGCTCGTGCCAGAACCGTGGGTCGAAGAGCATTGTTGGCCAGAAAGGTATGCTCCAAGTTCTCCGAATCTTTCAAGTTGGTCACACCTGTGACCTTTGACAGGAAGGTGCCTCAGGAAGGTCGGTCAAAGGACTCAGACGAAGCTCAGAGACTCTCTCTCTCTCTCTCAGCTTTGTGCCTCGTGAAATTGAAATCATTGTATAAATTATGCGTTGCGTGTTCGCACCATGGTCGGGGTCTACGATAAAGGCTTAATTTTTCTGTGCAACTTGAAGGGGGTGCTGGGGTAGATCCTGAAAATGCTTCGAAAGCTCGAAGCATTTCCACAAAAGCGGCCCGCCCGCTGGCCTTTGCTGCCTTTGCTGCTCACGGTGTGAAAGCTCTTGTGGGAGCGAGCCTCGGTCCGCTTGGTGAGGCGCGATGCCTCTGAAGCCACCGAAGGACGCACATGGTCACGCCTCAGCGGCTCGATGGTTTTTTCACAAGCTGGGACCGGGATGGTCACACCTGGCCGGCCAAATCAGGTTCTATGAGTTCGGAGGTAGGTGTTATATCCGCCTGAGGCCGACTCACCTCAACAGTTGTGGCTTTCCTCTGATCACATATGATAACATCACGTGGAAGTGGATGGCATGGCTCCTGGGAAGAGCATGCCATCCTCTGCAACAACTTGTTTTGCACTAGATAGGCCGAGGGGCGCCGACATGAGATATATAGCTTAGTCTCGAACAGGCCAAACATGCTCTTCAGTCTCCCGTCCCTCATGATTGATACAGTTGTACATCTATAGTTGTACAATGTTGTCCTGCTCCATCCATGCTTTGGCACTTGCATTTTCATGCTTCTGAGAGGTCATTCCCCCCTGTCCACCGGGCCAAGGGGCGTCACGCTCCACTCCACTCTGCTTGCTCGCCCTTGGCCACTTCGGCGAGTGCTTCGGTGAGTGCTTCGGTGAGTGCTTCGCTGGGTCTTCTGGCTCACGGCACTCGCGGCACTTTGCCGCACACCGGCCGGGTGGACGACCTCGGCCTTCTGGCTCACGGTACTCGCGGCACTTTGCCGCACACCGGCCGGGTGGACGACCTCGGCCTTCTGGCTCACGGTACTCGCCTCGTCCACCGTCCCAGGGAGTTGCGGAATGGCCGCGACCTCTTCCACGACCAGGTCTTCGCCCTGCGAGGTGGGGGGAGGCGCCGTGGGAGTCGCGGGCACGACGGTGTGGAGCTCGGAGTCATCAGAGCCGTCCACCAGCGGGTCGGGCCGATGGAAGAACTCGCGGAAAGAGATGAAAGTTGAAGGTTGGGTAGCAAAGAGGAAGACCATCGAGGATTGGCACACCACATGAAACACGGACATGCCCTGCCAACCGGCCAAATCATAGATGAAACCACCGATTGTCACCCCTAAGGCACATGCGAAGGTGAAGACGGCTAACCTGAGCAGTGCTTGACAGGTGCACAGTTGGTGTCAAACTCACTCGGTCCTACCTGCATACTCCCGTGCATACTGGGCACCTAACTTGTTACACGCGTGCACGCCAAATACCAACTAAAAACAGTTTGTTGTGCACCCGGGATCTTCAAACTAATAACAAGTTTGTTTTTGAAAAGGCACTTGCCTGTGCCGTTTCGAAGATCTGGGTCCGGGTACTGTATATAAATAAACAATATATATATATATATGTATATTGTGCCAGAAACAACTACGGCCCAAAAGCGACATGGAGCTGAGCAATGGAAGACCTTCAGGCTTGAGGCAAACACCACTTGGTAATTAACGTCGCAGCAAACATGATCCAAACACCACCTGCGGGCGCGGAAGAGCATCCCAAAAATGCATGGAACCTCCTATTCCTCTCCACGCCTCGAAGCTGGATCACACACAATTACACAATTTAGGCCTCGCAGCTCACTGGGAACACATGGAAGCAGTTGCGAAGCAACTCTCTTCATGATCGACCAGTCAGTCACGGAATTTGCAAAGTGTCTGTTAAATTTTGTCATTCCGCACGCCCGCGGCCGGCCGCACCACATAATAGATAGATAGATAGATAGATAGATAGGTTACGAGTATATTTACATTATATTGTATTTTATTGTATGCTACTACATTATATTACTTTAAATTACACTATATTTTGGGTGTGTTCAAAAGGCCTGTGGGTCGGAGCCCAAAACCATGCACAAGGCCATGGTAAAGAAAATTCTTATTTTCACAACTTCTTTTGCAACAGTCTAAGTTCTTTTAGAAAGATTCAACTTCTTTTGGAACAGGACAACAATGAGTCAAAAGTTATTTTTGAAACTTCTTTTGAAAAGAAACATGTTGCGAAACAACTTTTCTGAAACTTCTTCTCGACTCTAAGACTGATATATAATGTTTTCAAAAGCTTCCAAAAAGTTTTTTCTTGCTTCGTTTCGACCAGAAAGTTTCACAGAGCTGTTTCATGTTGTTTCCATACCTGAATATATGTTTTGTGTTTGCTATGCATCTAGGGTTTTGGCATTGAGAGCTCATGCTCATCCTGCAAAGGCACAACGGCTCAAACAGTTTAAGTTTGCATCTTCCTCAGGCCGTGGAAAAAACTAGAGCCAAAGCAAAGGCACAACTGCTCAAACAGTTTAAGGTTGCATCTTCCTCAGGCCGTGGAAGATATTAGAGCCAAAACCAAAGAACACAACTGCTCACACAGTTTTAAGGATATTTAAGGTTTTTAGAGCCTTCACCTCCTGCACCCCCTGCTGAACTTAGGCTATAACCTAAGTTCAGAAAATGTTTCCAACCCATATGTATGAGGTTCGTTGATGGAGGTTTTTCTTGAAAAAAACCTCAATCATCTTCCTTAGGGTTCTTCCCCTAAACCCCTCGCCGGCCGCCCCGCGCGGGGCCGCCTTGGTGGAGAGCTTCGCAAGCCTCCCCACCGGGGGAGGCCCAGAGCATCTGTTGGAAGGGGGCGTGCTGAATTTATTGAGCCTTTCTGGTTGACAATGCAATTGAAAATGGCTGTGACATTGGTTCATGAAGTGGCCCGACCAAATTCCCAAGATTGATACATGGCCTGAACCTGCATGAGCACCCACTCCAGCTCCAGAAGTGTTGGGCCTGGGTACTGCACGGTAAAGGAGTAGCATAGAGCAAGTGGCAACAAATGCATCAAACGAGAAACAAAGTGCACCCAAAGCACTAACTATGTCAAGACTTCAGCGTTTTCCTTCTCACAGTTTGTTGGCAGTGTTTCATCACTGCTGCGCAGCCACATTGCCGCCATCCTCCGGAATCAAGTCCGGACGGTGCAGTTCAAAAGTGAAAACTGCATTTTCCTGTTCCAAGATGCAAAAACATTTGATGCGAACGAACCACTTCGGGTCATGGAAAACTTGCCCCTCCTTGACAATAAACACTAGTTCTTCACGTTCAACAACATCGTTGTTGGGGAAGTTGTACACAAAGTGGTTGTACGCCCACAGAAGCAGCGCGCTAATTCGCGTATCATCGCTTTCATTCACTAGTGTAAAAATGACGATGGCGCCACTCTCAAATTCCACTCTGTACTTGTAGCCATCATCTCACCTGTCTCTTGCCATGGAAGTCCTCCTTACCAAGGTCAAACTAGGCCAGTGCACGCGATGTTGAACAATGTCACGTTTTCCAGGTGTTACAAGTTGTGGTACTGTGATAATTTGCAAGTCACGCCAAGAGTCCCATAACTGCGGGCCCGCTGCTTGACCGGCCATTGGAACCCATCTATCCAAGAGTTCTCTTTCTCCAAATTGAAGACACCCCCTAGAATGCTACGAGCCTTCAATCAACAAGTTTGTATCAAAAGCCAGAGTTTTTTAAGCAACAACTGCCGATAATTGTGTTTGGAAATGTTTGGAACATAAGTTTGGTGAGTTTCATTCTCTCTCAAACCTCTTTCTTTTTCAGAGCTCAGCTCAATGCAAAGCACGGCAAAAAACGTTTGGTCCAGGTAGGCCAAACCACCAACAGGGGCATCGCTCAAGAGGCGCGGATTTCAGAGCTGTCGAACGGGGATAATGATGGTTTTTAGAGGTGCATTCAGCTCAATTCAAAGAGAAACAAGTCAGATCTTGAATGTAATGTGAAAAAATTGCAACGTTTTCCCCACCCCCTTCCTTTGCAGCTATCCATGTTACGGTTGAAAAACAAACATCAATTGTTCTCATGTGCCTCAACTGTCTGATCGACTGCCATCGCTTCTTCCCCCTCACCTTCTCCACCACCGCTATACGGTTTATCAGTAGTGTTGTCCTTTGCGTCGGAGGCTGGCTCTGTTGCCTCCTTGGCCGTGTCACGGCCCCCAGCCTTCTCCTTGGCGACGGCGGTCATGGATTCCTGGGACAATGGACAAGAAACGCCACTCAGGACTCAGGAATGTTCAGAAAGCACTTCAAATGAATTTGAACACAATGAAGCTCAACTAGACCGGTTTCAACATTTTTTGGGACTTGCACGCAAGGCACCTGAAGTGTTTTGGCCGCTGTGATATCACCCTTGGTTCGCACCAGCTCATCCCGAACTGCCACCTTGGACACGGGCGAGGGACAAAGACATGTTGGTTGCCATAGTGTGTATGGTTCAAGCTCATGATTGGCACGACTCAAGGTTTGAATGTATGTTCCTGATATCACATTTTAAAAAGACACAACACGACAGTGAAGAGCCAAGCGACAGCGATGTTGTTGAGATCCTCCTCTGAAATGTCTGGATCCGGCTTCACCTGCAGTGGCTCTCAAAGCAAAACAGCATGAACCATGAACAGTCCCCATGTCCCCTCACGACAGCAGCACTCTCACTTTCTTTATGCAACTTAGACACCCTAATGACTTCCTTTCCAAAAAGTTTAATGGTGTAGCCGTTCTTGTAGCGAGACTTGGAAGCGCTAACGTGGTCGGGGTCCTTTGCACGGCCGGCCGGGCGCTTGATGACCAGCTTCGATGGTGACACCGTTGTCCCGGCAGAGGCCGGCGCAGCTGCACTGGGTCTCTTGAGAACAGCTTTGGCGGAAGGCTCTGGCTCTGAAGGCTTCGTGGTCTTCACCTTTGGAGACCCCTTGGCCTTTGGTTTTCCTTTCGCTTTTGGAAGCTTTTTGGTTGGGCTAGCTGAAGGTTTCGGGGAGTTACCCGTAGGTCGATCTTTCGGCCCATTTTCTCCACTATCATCAGACAGTTTGTCGATGTCTTCCAGAACCATGGCCCACTCGTGTGCACAGGGTTGGGTGCCCACACTGTTCGACTTGATTTCAAAAGGAGCGCAACGCCAAAAACCATCCATCCAGATTGAACATGATTGAACCTTTCTTTGCACCAACCCTGTAACCCCAACGTTCGGTCATCCCTTGAAGCTAGCAACACAGCATGAAGAGTGCAACTGAAGCTTGCATGAAGATTGCACTCAGCTGGGCGTGCAGGTGTTTGCCACTGAAGTCGGCTCCGATCTCTGCTGTGGGGCAACCCAGGCAAGAACGTGTAGCCCTACTGCCCCATCTAGAATCCACAACAAGGTTGAAAATACTTGGCTATGAGACTGTTTGAGAACATGTTTCATCCTGCAGGGCAGCCTACGAGGCGCCACAACCCCCCTTTGCCTGCTGGTCGCCGCGTCGCACAACACCCCAAAACACTGCTTCAGTAGGACAGCTGTTTTGGCTTTAACAGTTGTCACACTCATCCAAACATATTTTGGTTTCACTGGGCTGATCACTTTCTCCTGCCAGGCAGGGAGGGCAAATCCCAGCTCCATGAAACTAATGGAAGGCAAGTGAAAATTGGACTTTGATTTCTTATATGCCACAACTGGCACATATGCAGCATCATGCAACCCCGAATGTTTGCTTCCCGACGTGTACCTCCCAAACAACAACAAGGTTGGGGGAATTGGGCAGCTTGTTGTAGTCCGTAAAGCATCTTCCAAACTGCGAGTAGCGGACGTTGAGCAAATCACCATCCACGGTCTTTGGACGGACGAAATGCGTTGACCTTACTCTTTGGAGATACCTTGAAGCGAAACTGCCTTTGGACTCGGCCTGAATCTGTGTCCTGTCAGGGGGCCAGGGGTTTGGATCACCCGGAAAAAGTATGAACAAGTATTGCAGCATATTACCAGAATAGTTTCCATCCCAATCCTTGAACATAGGTTCTAAATCGTGATCCATTGAAACTTCTGTTACACCACGGGTTCGGGTAACGTTGCAGAGAACGTCAGCCACCGTCATCGGCTGTTTTTGAACTTCTCCACCACCCCGTTGGGTCACCAGAATCACAGTCTGAAGGTCCGATTGTCAGTCGTGGTGCGGGTGATGGGATTGTATTAGTGTGACCCTTCAAGTCCTGCTGTGATTTCGCTGAATGATCCAGCGTTCAAGCCGCACAGCTCCCGTGAACTGATCTCTGCATTCTCATTTGTATCGTTGAT